CGACTTGTGCAAAACTAGAGTTATCTGAATCTCACTCTTTATATGTTTATGCTCTCTATCTCGTGGTTTCTCTAAAATGTTTGGCAGTCAACTATTTATAGGGTCGAAACTCTTCGAATACCCTCTTCGTGGGGAATAAATCAAGTTATTACGATAGTAATTAAATAACGTTCTCCTATTAATTATTATTCAATGTTTTCTTTTTGTATAAGAAAATGAATAAGATAATTAATTCAACTTTTCCCCAAAAGCTATAGTCTATATCCGACCAACCCAACCCAGCCACCCATCTGCTTTTCAACTGACTAGTCCTACATGTCCTCCCTCTCAGACAAAGTGGGTCAACCCAAGCGACATGAGATTTGATTTATAACTTTTGCAAGGCTTTGTCCACTAATGTGGTAATTGAGATTTTATTTGTAGCTTTCAAAACTATTCATTCCCAACATATGTTGGATCGAGTACAAATTATTTTGGTGTAATGTTATATTTTATTGCTAGGGTTCAAGAAGGCGTGATTCCGCGTACGCTTAGGCGCTAGATAGTGATAAAACGCTTCGCCTAGGACCTAGGCAGACAATTAGGCATTCAAACGCCTAGGCGGTGCCTAATTCCACCTAGCTAGGGCTGTAAGCATGACCCTTGAAACCCACTACCCAGCCTTGCCCCGCCCTGACCCTCAGGGTTGAGGCAGGTCAGATTATCTACAGGGTCTTTCCAAAGTCGGGTCAGTTTAGGATCGGGTTAGGGTCAATTTAGGGTCGCTTTACTTTTTGACCCTATGACCCATAATGTCTTGAAATTCCTCTTACCAACATATTCGACTTGTTTGTAAACTTTTAAAAGTTTAGCTACTATAATGTAAGAGGAAAAATATAAAGGTACCAAAACGTAATTTTTCACCAAAATTTTTAAACCTATTTATACAAAAAATAAAAATTAGGTACCAATTGTAAGAAAATATAATTTTGGGTACCAAAGTGTAATTTTTCAAAAACAATTGTGATTGACAGGGTCGACCCTCTGACCTGTCCCTACTTGGCCCGACCCGTCCCTAACGGGTCAGACAGGGTTAAAGAAAGAATGAGGGTGGGGCGGGTCAATTTTTTAAGTTGACCCTGCAGGGGCGGGTCATGTAGGGTTAGAGCTTGTCAGGGGCCAATTTTCAGCCCTACACCTAGGCAGTCTAAGCACCGCCTAGCCAGAGTTAGGCATGATTAATCGGAGCTAGGCGGTATGACAACTAAAGATAATTAATTAATTAATTAATTAAATTGTTCCAAAATGACGCCATCCTTATGTTCGAGTAGTTCCTTCCAATCACTCGTCCTACAATGCCACCTTTCTTTATTTGAATATAAAAATAGATCAATAGAGCTCTTTGAATTGCAACGACTTCTCCCATGTCCCGAAATTCAACGTCTGCTACTAGAGTGCTTCTTGCCTTCAACTTTGGTTGACTCAGTACTTTGTCCAAATATTAGCCTTGGTCAACCACTAAACAACCAAAACAAACGTTCGCCACATGTACTGCTTTAGTTCCTCTCCCATTTGTATCTAACTTCAGCCCGCCCAATCTTCTTTCTTATTCTTCACCATCGCGATATGTAAAATTGTTATGATCGGTTAAAACTCCTAAGCGTCCTAGACGTTAGGTACCGTAGGACCCTAACGCTTGGCTAGTGCCTTTTTGAACCTTGATTATTACCTATATGTTAAATAAGATTTGATATAATTTAGGCAAAATACATTTGTGTAGCCAAAACTTTCACGTTTGTGACAATAATAGCCACTTTTATATAAATACAGAAAATAGCCAGAAATTTGAATGTTGCATGACAAATATAGCCATTTCCGTTATAAACTTTAACGGCGTCAGAAACACCGTCAGCTATCTTAATGGTGTGCTTACTGGGATGCCAACTCATCGTACACGTAATCGACAACTCAGACTTGATGGGACACGTCATATTTTAGATTAAAAGCATGGTCCATGAAACCGTATCGTACCGGCGGTTCAACCATAAAATACCAGTATCGAAGGCTATATCGATAGGCGGTATTCAACCATCTAACGGTTGAACTACGGTTAAACCACGGTTTTACCATAAAATACCCTACTGTTGACTTTCCCGATACGATATCCGGTACGGTTTCATGGACCATGATTAAAAGTATTTAATTATTTATGGTAAAAATATAAAAAAATAGAAGGCTTCCTACTTACCCCTCTTGCAACCCCATCTTCTTCCTCTTCCCTTTTCCCCAACATAATAATAGAAGGCTTCCAATCTTCTTCCTCATATTGCAGCCTGTCTACCGCCGAATCCATAACCCTTCTTCCCTCTTCAGTCATCCAAGAAGAACCCCATGGAATAGTAGCTTGGAAAGCGGAAACCACGAGAATGGATCTGGACTCCGATTGGCCGCCGACAATGTGGAATCAAAGATAGATTTAGCGGGCAAAATCAGGGGAATGATCACAAATGGACCGCCGTCGTCGAGCAAATAGTGGTGAGGGATTGGAAGCCTCCTATTGTTGTGGGTGGCGCCGCGTCGTGCTCGAGATCAATGTCGGATTCACCAACGAAGCTATACCTCTCCGATGGAAGAGGTGGTTGCGGCGAGTGAGCTCGAATCGGCAATTCAGCAGGGAGAGAGCGCACGATGGAAGATGGCGTCCAGATCCATCCCTGTCATGACCAGATTTGAGACTGAATTTGCGACCCGCCACTGCTGTCGTCGGAGCTTCTCCTTCTGCGATTGGGATGGGACAGAGTGATGGAGTGAGAACGATTGGGACGACGATGATGACTCGCTCGACATTTTGATACTGAATGACCTTCTTTGTTCTGTCGTCTTCCTGGGGCTTCGGTGGTGTTGGTGCAGAAGAGAAATCGGCGACGGCGTTGGAAAGAAATTTTTGGAATAGTGCTGGAGAAGAGTAAAGCAGATAGAAGAGGAAAGGAGAATAAAGGAGTTTTTTTTGTTTTTTAATGATCGTTTATTTAACAATAAAAATAAATGAATAAAACTTTAATGAATTTTCACCTCACATTATTTTCAATTAAAATATGCCACATCAACTTCTGCTATTAGTACCGTCAACATGTTAAGTCACACCGTTAAAGAATTGGACGGAAGTGGCTATTTTTGGTATTTTGTCAAAAGTGGCTATCTTTGGCAAAACCATCAAAGTTTTGACTATACAAGTGTATTTTACCTATAATTTATAAATGTATGAACAATATAACAATTCTTTTTATATATCCATGTTAAATGACACTAGAGTAATGTGTTAGGGTTAACAAAAAAAAAAAATTTCATGTGGAGAGCTCTCTCCTCTCTCCTCATTCCTGCCCGCTGGGTGGGGAAACTTTTACTCTCCTTGTTGATATCCATATTCCTCAGATGCCTGCATAATCAACAGTGGGCGTTGCAACGAAAGCAAAGACAACCCGGCGATCGGTGTCTTACAGATAGGAAGGTGTTGTTTGTCGAACCCCTTTCTTTTCGCCGGAAATACAAAGGTGGTCCTACTGATGGAACAATATCCATCGTGGATCCTTGCTCAAAGCAAAATAGCGTAAAACGGAAGGTTGGGCAGCTCCCACCCGCCGAGCATGAATCTTTTAAGATGGACGCTAAAAGGCGTCGCTTTTCGAGAGCTGCTGTGTGGGTGTTTCAGATTCCCTCAATGGAGGAGTTAGAGCATGAGGAACTGGTAGTATCGAAACCCACCATGGTTGTCAGATCGGTAATGACAATCGGGACTACCTCTTCCCCTTCTCTGGTAAAGAGCGGTGCAAAAGTCTCCGCTGTAAATGGAATGTGCTGGCCGCTGGGCATTATAAACGCGGCCATGGAGGGTCGGGATGTAAAGGATTTCGGGGCCAAGAAAATTGAAAATTCCTTTCCCCACCCCTGGAGTGACGATGACCTAGTCCCAGCAACCCCTGTTCGAGTCGATAGAAGCCGACGGCTGGTCTGTTCTCAACACTCCCAGGTCGGAATTCGTAATCTGTTCAGCGACCAACGCTTCGCCGTCGAGGACGGCTGGGTTCAGAATCCCCCGGAGAGACGGCAGTCGGTTGATCAAGAATCTCATTCTGATCCCGTATCCGTGATTGAAGGGATTTTTACAAATAAGATAAATTATTTTCCTTTATCCTGTTCGGTAGAACAGAGTTCTAGTCGATCTCTGCTTTCTCGAAACCGCGTGGAGACGGGTTTTTCGCTTGGTGGAAAAATAAATGGGGCGCTATATAATCTTATTGGGATCGGCTCTCTGACCCAGAATTTCAATACTGCGCAGCCAAAGCGAGTCCGACGAGCTGCGTCAGCCTCGGCCAAATCCAAGCCCCCGTCCCCCGCAGGTACCAACCCCGATCTCTCTTCTCTTCCCACAATCGTCCATCTTTATGGCTGGCCACCCAGGTCGCCCCAAGGAAGGGGTTTTATGCGATCTGTCGGCAAATTCACAGGCCCCTGCCCCTAGCCAGGAACTTGTAGCTTGCTTGGGTGGGCTAGGCTCTCGGATTATTGGGGAGGTTAAGTCGTGTCTTACCCTGAATGCTCCTATGGTGCAGGTTCCGACAATGGCGCACGTGAATGCGGACCAGGTGGTTCAATTTTCAATGGATGAAGTGCAATCGACTAATTATCGTGCCTCTCATTCGTTGCTGGGTAGAGTTTTCACAGCAAACAGAATTTACACAACGGATTTGAGGGAGGGTGTGCTTACACCGTGGCTAATCCAAGGGCGTCTCAGGGTGGTCCTGGCTAAACATGGACTGGTTGAGTTCATGCTCCCAAGTGAGGAGGCTCGGCTATGGGTGCTCAAACGTACCCCATGGATCATCAATGACCAAATCATCCACCTCCGCACGTGGACACCGGTGATTACCAAACAAATTTTCGATGACCTAGCAATTGTCCCATTCCGGGTGCAATTATGGAATGTGAAGGAGGAATGTTGCACCCAACAGTTTGGGAGGAAGATGGTGAACTCCACCATCGGCAAAGTCTTGGAATCCAACCTATTTGCCTGTCAAGACACGGGGCGCTAGTTCGTGAAAGTCAAAACTTTAATTGATTTCACGAAGCCTATGCGTTCGCAGATTTATGCCATTAATGATGATACAGGCAACTTCTGGGTTAGCCTCAAGTATGAGTACCTACCCAGCTTTTGCTTTCGCTGTGGCAGGGTGGGTCACGTGATTCGGGCATGTACTTCTGACCCGCCAGCTCGCAAAGAAAACTTCGGGCCTCACATGTCCACTCGAAAGCTGGGTAACCGAATCTACGACACCGATGACAATAACCCTTCGTTTGCAAGGGGAGGGAAGTCGGTTTGGGTCAACCAAAACTATAACGAGAAGTAGGAGGGGCATGGTGATAAGGGGCGGACTGTTCAGGGGGAGAGGCACGGCCAGCCTGTCCTGGGACCTGATCGCCAGCTGTCAGGCCACCCGCGCAAGGCTGTAGCTCCGTCTCCAGCCGGGAAAGTGCGCCGCCAGAGCCCTCGCGGCTTCCATGTGTCGCGGGAGCCGAAGATCCAGCTGGGTCGCCAGTCCCGTCCTACTCGCGCGGTGCAGCAGCAGCCTTGGAGGAATGGTGCCCGGGATGCTGATGAAGAGGGGCGCATTCAAGAGTTTCATGGTGCCCAGGCAATGGGGCTGGCGGATGCCCCTGTTGCTATCGATGCTGAGCTCACGGTGGAGCAGCCAGCGGAACGCCCAGTCATTCTGCCTCCGGCTGAGGTTCGACGCAGAAGACTGATTCTGGATGACTCCGAGGATGAAGCCCCGCCAACCAGTGGCCGCTCCTCTCCAGCTGCGGCTCCGGAGGGGAAGAAGGGTGGACGGCGATTGGTGAAATTGGCTGACGCACTCTCCGCGGCGGGGGTCCCTAAAACCCGTGAGGCTCCCCGCTCCAACCGGAGGAAGAGGTCGTCTGTGTTGGACCGAGGTGAGAAGGGGGAGACGAGTAGGAAGAAGGGCGGAGCGGGTCGAACGGGAAAGAAACAAGGTGGCCGCCAAGGTAAAAGGGCCGTGGAGAAAGAGAGGGTCCAGGAGGCGGAAGTGGAGGAAAATGCTTTGGCAGAAGGGAAAAAAATAGTAATAGAGGAGGCTGCTGTCCCAAGGGAATCAGATGGCTCCCAGTCTGAGGAGGATGAGCTCCGTTTCGTTATCAAAAGCAGGATCCAGCCCATTGACAAGGAGAATGTTGGTCAAAATGGGAGGGTGAAGCAGGTGGTGGCTGCTTTTGAAGCGAATTTGGCCATTACTGAGGACCAGACCCATGAGGACCTGGCTGAAGGGGACATGGTGTTGAAGCTGAATGAGTATGGGTCTAATCTTGATGATGGGACTCATAAGCGGCCTTTGCAAGAGATAGAGGAGGGGCTTGAGAGCAGTCCCACTCCGAAGAGGCAATTTGTAGAAGAAATCTCAGAGACTGTTGAGGTGGAGGAAGCCAGTCATAAATGGCCCCAGTCTGATAAATGAGACTTTTGTCCTGGAATGTGAGGGGGATTGGGCCATCCCTCACATTCCATTCAGCTTTTAGTTTAGTTCGTTCGAATAATCCGGATCTTGTTTTCTTTTCAGAAACAAGGTCGTCCAGGAGAGTAGTTTCCCGTCGTTTGTGGGGTTTAGGGTTTGAGTCTGCTCAGTGTTTTTTTGTTGATGCTATTGATGGTTCTGGTGGTCTTGTAGTTGCGTGGGCCCCCGAAGTTGATGCTTCGGTTTTTTATCATTCCAGTTTTTGTGTTGGGACAAGAATTAATGAAAATGGTTCTTCCTATGTGGTGCTCTGTACTTATTTGAGTTGTAATGTCGCCTTGCGTGCGTCTCAAATTAGACAACTGCGCGATCTTTGTGAGGGAATGCAACTCCCATTTTTGATTATTGGTGATCTCAATGTGACATTATCAGAAAATGAAAAGGATGGGGGCAACCCGTGGAATGCTGCCCAGGCCGTGGACCTCCGTAACATGGTCCAAGATATTGGGTTGCATGACCCGGGGTATCAGGGTGACGTGTTTACCTGGACAAACAAGCGCATGGGGCAGGCATGTATTCGCGAGCGGTTAGACAGAGCGTTGTGCTCTCAGAGTTGGATGGATCGTTTCCCAGACACCTTAGTGAAACATTTCACTGACCAGGGGTCAGACCACCGGGCTTTGCTTCTGTCTGATAAACCGTATGTTCGAACATGTCGGCCTTTGTTCCGGTTTGATGCCAGGTGGGCGGATAGTCCGGAGGTCAAGGCTATGGTGGCTTATGTCTGGCAGGAGCCAGTTCAGGGCACTCCGATGTTCCAGTTATGGGAGAGATTGAAAAAGCTTCGTCATTTGCTTTACGACTGGAGCAGGGCCGGAACCACCAACTCCTTGCGTAACATTCTCACCTTGCAAAATGAAATTGCTAGAATGAAGGCGGTGCATCCGATCAATTGGCACGAGGTTACTGCTCTTGAGACTGAATTAAGTAGGCAATGGGAGGCAGAAGAGATGTACTGGCAGCAAAAATCGCGAGTCCGGTGGCTGAAGAGAGGTGATCAAAACACTTCATACTTCCACACGGTCACGCGCACTCGTCGTAAACGAAATTTTGTCCCAGGTCTGTATAATGATGACGGGGAGTGGATAACAGATGAAAAAGGGAAGGCGGACATTGCGATTAATTTTTACCAATCTCTCTTCACCTCTGAGTCCCAGATTGAGGATATGGTTGAGCGGGTGGCGGAGTTATCCATTGCCCCCAATGTAACCCCAGAAATGAATGCTTCCCTTACCGCTGAGGTCAGTCCGCATGAGATCCGCAAAATGGTCTTCGCGATGGGTTCAAAACAGGCCCTTGGCTCCGATGGATTCACGGGCAAGTTTTTTAAAGCCTTCTGGGAGATTGTTGGGGAATCAGTGGTGGCGGCAGTTGGCTCTTTTTTTACTACAAGCAAGTTGCTCTGGAGTTTCAATCACACCTGGCTGACTCTAATCCCCAAAGTTGAGCAGGTGGAATCCATGCGCCAGCTTCGCCCTATTAGCCTTTGCCAGTTCTTCTACAAAATAATCACTAAAATTATGGCGGAAAGATTGGCGGGGATCTTGCCTCTTGTTGTCTCGGAAGGGCAGAATGCTTTCATCAGGGAGAGGCAGATAGTGGATAATATCCTCATTGGTCACGAATTGATGCATTATTTGAAAATCAAAACCCGTGGAAAGAAAGGATACATGGCTCTGAAGGTTGACATGGAAAAGGCCTATGATAGAGTCGAATGGTCGTTTCTGTTGACGGTTTTGGAAAAAATGGGCTTTTGTTCGGTCTGGCGAGGATGGATTCGGGAGTGTTTACAATCCACATCTTTCTCCATCTGGGTTCTTTGCGCCTTCCCGAGGGCTTCGTTAGGGGGACCCTCTTTCTCCCCTACTCTTTGTGCTTTGCACGGAGGGGTTTGCTGCTTTACTCCGCAAAGCTATATCGGATGGGAGACTAGCAGGGGTCAAGGTAGCGCCCCGAACCCCTCGCATATCTCACTTGTTCTTTGCTGATGATTCTTACTTGTTCCTCCGTGGTTCCCTCCAAGAGTGTGAGAATCTGATCGAAGTACTAAATGAGTATGAAGAGTTAAGTGGGCAGAGCTTGAACCTGGAGAAATCGGTAGTGTGCTTTAGTAAGAACATCTCCTTGCCGGATCAGGAGTTCTTAGCGGCTATCCTTGGGGTGGGCGCAGTAGGGGTTCAGGATAAGTATCTTGGCCTCCCCACTTTGATAGCCAGATCCAAAACAGCCACGTTTCGGTACCTGGAGGAAAAGCTGCTAGAACGTTTACAAGGTTGGAAACGTAGGACTCTGTCGTCAGCGGCCAAGGAGACTCTCATCAAATCGATTGCTCTTGCTTTGCCGCTCCATGTGATGTCTTGTTTTCATCTTCCATTGTCTCTATGTCGTCTCCTGGACAAGCATGTAGCGAGATTCTGGTGGGGGGTTGAAGAAGGACGCTCACGGGTTAGGTGGGTTTCCTGGCGGAACATGTGTAGAAGTAAACATGAGGGAGGCATGGGGTTTCACCGGTTCGAGCATTTCAATCAAGCTCTTTCAGCTAAGATTGGATGGAGAATCATTAATGAGCCACAATCCCTCTTAGCTCAAGTTTACAAGGGGAAGTATTTCCGCATGGATCTTTCCTGTCGGCCACTGCACGTTCCCGCCCTTCCTGGGGCTGGCAAAGCATTCTTTATGGACGTCAGTTGTTGTCGGCAGAGCTACGATGGCAGATTGGGAATGGGCAAACAGCCCCCTTACTGGACTCTAATTGGATTACACAGCTGTGCCCGGTTCCCCCAGTGTATAATCCGCTGGTCCTTCCTGTGGAAGGGGAAATAAAGGTCTCTGCGGTCATTTGCCCAGGGGAAGGTCGGTGGTGCGAGGAGAAGCTTATGCAGTGGTTTGATCCCCCGACATGCCAAGCTATTCTGGCAATGCCCCTTCCTAGGCAGAGTGTTGAGGATCGGCTGGTTTGGCATGCTACTGTTGATGGGATCTTCTCGGTGAAGTCGGCCTATCACTTAGCAGTTCGTCTAGATCAGTTGAATGGGCGGTGGCGATCACAGGTTAGTTGGATGGACAAAGCTAGTTGGATCCGTCTCTGGGAAGCCAATATCCCCCCGAAATTGAAGATTTTTGCCTGGCAACTTTTGAACAGAATTCTGCCGACTACTGAGGCGCTAATTGAGAGGAAAATTGATGTTCTTGCCCGGTGTCCTGTGTGTTGGGCCTCATCGGAAACGATGGAGCATCTTTTCCTTGATTGTCCGGTGGCCAGGGCCCTGTGGACTCAGTCTAATCTGGATCATCTTGGGGAGGGCTTGCCTCGGCATACATTCCTGCTGTTTCTGAAGAAGTTGCTGGCCATCTTGCACCAACCTTCGTAGGTCATGGAAGTTATTGCTATCCTATGGAGGATTTGGCGATCCCGTAACTGGGTGGTCTTTGATGGGAAGCAATTTGGTATCCATGCTCTTATGCGGCAGTATCACCAGCAGATTGGGGAATGGTTGACCTTACCTAAGGATCCCCGGCGCCCCTCGCTGGCGCCCCCTAGTACGGGTTTGGGGGGGTTGGGAGGGGCGGAGGGGCCTGTGTGCCGTTGGGATGGAGCAGTCCGCGCAGGGTCTCACTCGGCAGGAGGCTTTGTGCTCATGAATGAGGGAGGCGAGACCGTCTGGGCGACGGGTATTCAGTTCCCTCGGCTAGATGACCCAATGGTGGCGGAAGTTCTTACCCTGCGCGAAGCGATCAGCTGGTGTATAATGCAGGGTTTTGTGTCAATGAGGTTCGAAGGTGATGCCCAGATAATTATTGAGAAGCTGTGTCGGGCGGATGCAAGGGATGGTCGGATTGGGGCGATTTTGGAGGAGATTCTGCAGATTTTGAAGGACTATCCGGGTTTCATTGTACGATTTGTAGGTCGGGGTAGCAATAGGGTAGCTCATAGTGTAGCTAGACAGGCCCTGTCTTTGTTCCCGACTACATGTCGTTATTTTGACTTTCAGGCCTGGCTGAATTCCAGGATGTAATTATCGATCTGATTATATCAATATATGATTATCTTTTGTAAAAAAAAAAATGACACTAACGATTGTACCATTAATTCTTATCTAATATAACAAGTTAAAGAGGTTTGACAACATAATTAACATTGACAACGGAATGCATGTTTATGACTACCCTTTCTTTTCTATTTTTATTCTTCCTTTTTGGTAAATTTTTCCCCCCAGATTTCAAGGTTGGCGTGGGCGTTTAGACATGGAAAAGTAGGAAAGGCTTGTTCTCATTCTCCCATGAGAGCATATTTTCTCCCCGTAATTTTGAATGACTCAATGGTCAATACAACACCCCCCACGAATTTGTGAAATAAACTAATGTACTCGTTTAGTTATTTAATATTTTCTCTGCATTAGATTAGATTAGAGACACACCTTCCCTCGAAGACTCTCTCTGGTCTCTCCCAATGGGTTCTTTCTTTTAGGCCAGTAAGTAAAATGAAACCGCGTAGCCATTCAAAGTCCAAACGTTGATTTCTAACATCGAATTAGAAATCTCGACCCTCCCCAAAAGTTTATCGTCTGTCTTCTCCCTCCCCTTCCCTTCCCTGCTTCTTCTTCTTCTTCTTCCTCCTGTTTGCTCAAAGACTCGTACCTTCCCAATTTCCTCTTCCTTCACTTCTCTTGCCTGTGCTCCAGTCCCACTCCAACTTCTTAACTTCCGTCTTCTCCTTGTTAGCTTCTCGCACTTTTCATTCGTTTCGACAGCAACCCAGTTTCCTTCCCTGCCCTTCGATTTCCATTTCCTGTTTCTGGGTCTCCTTCCTTTTTCTTCTCTCTTCTTCTTATTGATGTAGGATTTAATTTCTCGGTAACCAACAACCAAGGGGGGACACAGAAGAAGTTTTGACATGGTGTGTACGAAATTCGGAGCTGTTCTACTCGTCCTTTCCCTGCTCTTCTCGGCTTCTTTTGACGCGGTCCTCGTCGGAGTCAATGCCCACAGGCGGAGCCGCGGCGCCAATTCCAACCTCTCTACTCTCGCCGGAATCGAATTGAACGACCACTTGAATTTCAATGCTGCCTCCACTGCTTCCACCTCAGGTTGCAGCCTCTCCACTTCCAAGAAAGCCACCCAGTCAAAGTCCTCGGGAGAACAAAAACTCGCCGGCGATGATTACGAGGACGTCGACGACGATGAAGAAGAAGAGGTAGAGGGAGAAGGAAATCAAATACCGGCAAAGCCCACCATGAAGCTCCACCTAAAACACCGGCCGCTGACTCTGGGAAAAGGATCCTCCTCCGCAGCCGGGTCCAAGCCTAAGCAGGAAGCCTTCTTCGTATCGGCGACACAGGACTTGGCCAGAATTCAGACTCTGTACCGAAGAATCACGGAGAAGAAGAATCAGAATGCCGTCTCCAGATTGGAAAACGAAAAGTCAAAGCAGGGAAAGCGCGTGATAGAGAAGCAGCCAGCGACGGCGGCGGCAGCGCCCGCGTCGGGCGTCTCCGGGCAGCTGATGGCGACTTTGGGTTCAGGGGTGGCACTGGGTTCCGGCGAATACTTCATGGACGTCTTCATCGGTACACCTCCTAAGCACTTCTCTTTAATTCTGGATACCGGTAGTGACCTCAATTGGATTCAATGCGTCCCTTGCCACGACTGTTTTGAGCAAAATGGGCCGCTCTACGATCCCAAAGACTCAACTTCTTTCAAGAACATCAGTTGCAGTGATCCCAGATGCCAGTTGATCTCATCACCAGACCCACCTTTGCCTTGCAAACATCACAACCAGAGCTGCCCTTATTTCTACTGGTACGGTGATAGCTCCAATACAACGGGTGATTTCGCACTCGAGACCTTCACTGTGAATCTCACTTCCCCATCTGGAAAATCAGAGTTTACTAAGGTTGAGAATGTGATGATTGGTTGTGGCCACTGGAATAGAGGGCTGTTCCATGGTGCAGCTGGTTTGCTAGGACTTGGGAGAGGGCCACTCTCTTTTGCTTCTCAGCTTCAGTCACTGTATGGCCATTCCTTCTCATACTGTCTCGTGGATAGGAATAGTGACACTAATGTGACAAGCAAGTTGATATTTGGGGAGGATAAGGATCTTTTGAGCCACCCTGAGTTGAATTTCACTTCGCTGGTCTCTGGGAAGGAGAATCTCGTCGATACGTTCTACTATGTTCAGATCAAGTCGGTCATGGTTGGTGGTGAGGTTCTGAGCATACCAGAAGAGACTTGGAATGTATCAGCTGATGGTGCAGGCGGTACCATTGTGGATTCTGGTACGACGCTGAGCTACTTCTCGGAGCCAGCTTATCAGACAATTCGAGATGCATTTCTGAGGAAAGTGAAAGGTTATCCGGTGATCGATAGTGTTCCGGTTCTGGATCCTTGTTACAATGTCTCTGGAGTGGACAACCTTGTTCTGCCCGAGTTCGGGATATTGTTTGCAGACGGAGCAGTGTGGAGCTTCCCGGTTGAGAACTACTTCATCTGGCTGCAGCCAGGGGAAGTTGTTTGCTTGGCAATTCTGGGGACTCCACGGTCTGCTCTTTCCATTATTGGGAACTATCAGCAGCAGAACTTCCATATCTTGTATGACACCAAGAGATCGAGACTTGGGTATGCACCCATGAATTGTGCTGATGTATAGTATGGTAACAACAACCCATTCAGAAGAAGGAGCTGAAGCCAAAAGATGGTAGGAGTGGGGAAGGAAGGTGGATACATAGAGGAAAAGCTCTTTTTGCCCCCTTTTTTTTACTTCTTTCTTTTGTTGTTTGATTAATTTTTCCCTAATATATTCTCCAAAGTGTAGAAGTAACATACAACAAACTTTTGATTCATTGTTAATCCTGTTTGTTTAGGGTATCATCAGTAAATTCATTTGTAATCATAAAACACAGTGAATGATAAGGTTCTTATGAGAAATGTAAATGACCCTGCTGCAGTTTGAGATTAATGACAACAGCGGTTCATCTTTTGTCTTCTCTATTTGTGTCTGCTCTGGTGAATCTGCAATGGGATCAAAGCTTTCATAATCTACTTCAAAATGCTTGGCTGCAGGAACTATGGCTTTTCAATGTTTTTCTGATTCAGGATGAAGGTTTTCATACTCAGCTTGGACAACATTGTGTGCGAATGAACCACGAGCTGAAAATCTTATGTACAAAGAGATGCAAACAAATATGGATAGCAAGCAAGGGCCGCCCTCCGTTTAGCATTTTGTAATGACGATGTGGTTTTGACTTGAATGTGTAGGGTAATAGGGTTACTTGGGGAGCAGTTTGCCCCTTTCCCAGGCATCTGAAACGAAAAGGACAGACAATCTGGCTTAAATCCTGGAGGCATAAATTAAACAATTCCTTTGAGACAACAACCAACTGTGCGGCCAGCCAGGGACGTTTCATTAAATTGCTTTCCCATCTTTCCAAGTCGACTGGTCTTGTGATCTTATTCCATTCAATGCCATCTTAATTTCTGTTTAGTTTAGTTTCAACTTTCAAGCTAGCGGTTTCTTTTGACTTGGAAGATTGTTGTTATTGTTGGGTAGTTTTGACTTGGAATATTCTCGATTTATAATTTTTTCCCCATTTTTGTCATCAATTTTTTTCTTTTCAAATTCTTGTTAGTCATTTACTTCAAATACTATTTCATTGTTGAACACTGGTCGTCCAATTATATTAACTTCATCGTACGTGACAATCAACTATAACCTTTAATTGTCAGATAAGACGTGACGATTTAAAAGATTTATAATACAAAATTTCATTATTTACAATTTTCTTTCAAATGGAAAACCAATTGAAAATACATCCTTCCGCTTCTTCCTCCCCTCAGCACATCAACAATGGCGACACTCATTATTAATTAGGATGAGCTGGAGCGCCTTCCACCATGGTGACGAGCTAGAAGAGATCTCGATTCTCATATTTGATTTTGGAGACGGAGGAAATAAAAAATGGTGATATTGGATTTAGACGAGGAGGAGAGGAAGCTTGTTCATCGTGGATTGGTAAAGTGGAAAATTTAGAACTAAACAATTTAGTGTTGATTTCAACACTTTTCTTAATAATAAAAAAGAAAATTTTGATGTATTTTTAATTATGACACAATTATTTTCTTCAATAATTAAAAATTATGTCAGGAATGACAATTCAAATAATAATAGCCGTATTAATATTTTAGTCAGTGGGTGAGTAAATAAAAAAAGTTCCCGATTTAAGTTCGCATTCTCTGCCACCTCCTACTCCCCATCACTCAACAATTGGGGCAATTAGTTGGGATTTTGAGGTTAGATTGAATGTTGATGATTAGATCATCGTCCCACCACTCTGTAGACTGCAAGCATGTTGTTGTGTGATGATTAGATCATCGCCACACCCTCTAGCGGTTTGTTGTGGACCGTCGGGGAGTATGATGGTTTTCAGGCCACATTTTTTTCCTATAAAAGGCAGTACACTTCACTACTTTTTCTAATTTATGTTCTTCTCCCAACTGATTTGTCAGTTTTTGCAATTATATTACTTCGTACGTATGTTTTGAATTAATTTTTATTACTTTTTTATGGTTATATTTTTATTAATCTACATTATGCCAATGTCTGTATATTATGTATGTTGTGTTATAGGATACTATAGAGAATGTCATGATTTACGCTTAGTTAATTTGGAAATGGTTTTATTGCAGATGGTCCGTCAAAAATTCATGCTTTTGATACAGTGGAATGGTTACACGAAAGGGACTGGAAATGGGGTACGTTACGTAGGTGGTGATTTTCATAAAGTGAAGGTCGGTACGCGACCAAACCTTGAAGAGTTCCGTCATATGTGTACTAGGGTTAATTGCATGGGGGGCACAAGGAGAGTTGATCGTATGGTGTATCATTATCCAAACAAAGAAGGCGGGTCGCTATGGTATGAGGAATTGCTCTTAACCACTGAGGAGGAAGTTGATGCCATGCTCGATTTTCTGAATGTTAATAACATATTCAAAGCAGAGAAGTTTCTTTATACCGAGGAGGTTGAAGGCGCTGGAGGTCATCCTGGAGGTGGCCAAACATATGGTATTCACGGTGGGGTGGAGTATATGAAGATCATCCCTACGAAGACTACCATGATCATCAATCGTACCATGAGTACCAAGAAGGAGGTGGAGGTCATCATCATCAATCATTCCCATCATATGAAGAAGAAGACCAACGGTACCATGAGTACCAACAAGGAGGTGGAGGCCATCATCATCAACCCTTCCAATCATATGAACAAGAACCTCAATGGTACCATGACAACCACCAAGAAGGCTACTAGTACCAACCCTAGTACTACTTTCATGTAGGCAGTGGTAGTTATCACAACTACCATTACAGAGTTGAAGATGGTGCCTTTCATGATATAGATAAGATGGAAGATGTGCTGCAAGCTCCATATAGTGACTTTGAAGATGAAGAAGAGGAAGGCAACGCTAGTGTATACAGCTTCAACACTCTTGAAGGTGCTGATGATTCATGCTCAGATACAGATTCAGATGATGATGAGGTGTCCCGTGACCGTGTGCCTATCCTGTACTACATGACATTCCAAATGAATTATACGTACCGAAAAAGTGTTCCAAACATCCCTTGAACGATGGTTAGGTTTGTCATACAGAACACTTCCATCATGGGGCCCTTGGTCAAGATACTATCTTTGATCATATATCTACACCCATATTAATCTACAATAACATAAAAAAAGGAATTAATTAGTATATAGATTAATTAACAAGAATTATAAGAAATAAAATAAATAGAAGAAGGAGTATGTACCGCTTGATAGTCATCATTAAAAACGTTTTCTTTATAAGAACAATCTTGATCCATTTTTTTTACAGAAGGTGGATAGAGGTTCGATGTGTTTTGGAGGAAAAAAAATTAAGATACGTTTTATGATGGTAGTTCAGACTTAGCCGCAACCAGACCATATGACAATTTCTTAAGTCTTGAGTGGAGGGGGAATAGGTGAAGAGAAAATCTTAGAGACAGAGAAGAGTCCCAGGCTTGGTGTGGAGAAAATGAAGAGGAGGAGGGCTGCATTTATAGGGAGCGGACCATGGGAGGGGGAGGCGGTTTGGCTAGATTTGAAAAACGAAACCGCGTGCCCCAAACACGATTTATTCATTTGAAATTTAAACCCACGCTTGGGGGCCACGATATGGGCGGGAGAGGCGCGGATCGCTGAGGTGGTGCACGGTCCGTTGTTGGATCGCGGGGGGATCCAACGGTCAATTTGACTGCAACAACCTCACACGGTCTGTAGGCGGCAGACACGAAAACCGTAGCACCCCTCTGCGATTCTCGTTTTTACCGCCATGGGGTATGCAGTCCCTGTGAATTGGTGGTATGGATCTGAGTTTCGATTTTGAGTCTTGTATTGGGTGTCAAATGAATATTTTGGGTTGGGTGTCACTTTTGTTGTGTAAGGAGTAGTGTCTTTCATATGTTTTTTCTTGTGACGTCGCTTAAAGTTATGGTTGACATTTGAGTAAGTGTTCACCTTTGAGTTGTAGGATTAAAGAGTCACTAAAGATAATGTTTGTAGCAACTTATTCTAGTTTGTTTGGGTTCATAGTTACTGGGGGATGTTAGAGGGATTAGATGTGGCGAGATTAAAGGAGTCAGTTGGGAATTGCATCTCTAAAGTTTATACTTATGATATTTTTCATTATTCAATAAAAGTATCAGAATTTGCCCGAGGAAAATACAATATTGTTGTATCAGAGCCTACTTGCAAACTTTGATGAGTGTGATTTGTGAGATTTGATTTGGGAAACACGAGGGCGATTGGTGAGGGTATCTCTTGTTGGTGAGTGAAACATGAGAGGAAAGTGAGAAAATTCCAATTGCAGAACGCGTTGTGTATGAGAGAAAACGAGGGATTCAAGATTTGCACTAGTTTGCATCCCAAAGTTTTGGACTATTGGAGATTGTGACTATTGGAGCTTGCTGATGGAGCACTTACTTCGATCCAAAGAGTATTGGACTGTGGTCTCTGAAGGGTATAATGATCTGGCTTCAAGAGTTGAACTCTTTGCTTCTCATATTCAGGCTTTATAGCCTAAACTGAATATTTGAAAGCGAAGAACTACTTTTTCAATATTATTGATAAGACTATTTTGAAGATCATAACCCAGAAAGCAACTTCCAAGGAACTATGGGAGAAGCCCAAATACATTGACACATTAATAGTAGATGCATTGCAATGTTCTTTGTTGGTGCATGAACATACATTTAGTAGGAAAATGATAGATAAAGATCAGGCCTTGGGAGTAGGTCATGATGGTGGTAGAGGAAGAGGTCATGGTTGCCATAGTTCTCCATTTGTTTAGCACAAAATTTCCACGCCAGCCTCCTTGTAGTTGCAAACAGCTTACCCGTCACAATTATTTCATAAGTACTGCTATTAACCCTTGTTTTCTCTCCCTTAGAGTGGGATCAATATCTCATGCCGTCCAATTGGTAGGGTGACCTCACACTCCCTAAATAGGGACTCATCGCTGTCGAACCTTCCGCGGCGACTTCGTCTCCCTTGTGGCCTCGTCCTTAGCTCCCTTATCCGCTGTCTCCTAGCAGCTCTCCTCCTGTTATACAGAAAAAAATTTCAAATAGAATTGAAAGAAAATGAATGTAATAACTTAGAAAAAAAAATGGTTGATTGCTAATTCTATAAATTCCCTACTGACGAGCCACAGCAATCGCACCTATCAAAGCAACTAGCAGAATTATTTTTCAAACTTCCTTGAGCCTCCACTTTCGGCGGCCCATCCCTTGTCCTGACGTTGCACGTTACCTTGTCAATAGTAACCAGCATCGGCACGGTTTGCTTTTCAAAAGCGATCACCTCCAAGGCATCGACAGAGACCACCATGGCCTCCTCGTCGGGCTCCTTACATTTCTCAGCTCTACCGTCCTCTTCCGCTGCCAACACACCATTGCCTTGGTGGTTCTCTTCGTTGCTCGATGCAGCTAGGGAAGCATAGATCACCTCTGCTGTCGTGTCGACTTCGCCATCCTCCGCCTACTGTGCCACCACCTTGGTCAGACTAGTCTGCTCGGGCTCGATCGCCCCCGGGACTAGCGATGATGGCCATCACAAACCTCACTTTCCGGGCCTCGCCGTCTCG